GGGTCTGACAGCAAACACACCCCCCGGGTCGCAGCGTTCTTGGGCACAAACTGTGAAGACCCAGACACTGCAGATCTTCCTTGGCACGTGCAGAGAGCCCTTTTCCCTAGCCAGATCCCAGTCTGGAAGAGATGCCAGCAGGATCAGAGCATGATCCCTTGCTGAAGCCCTTGTCCCAGAACAGGGAACTTGTAACAGAGGCCTGGGGGCAAGGCTGATGAAGATCTTGCGAGACCACTTTCACGTCAGCCCTGGAACAGCTACATTTGCTACGCTCAGAGCTGTGCCCCCACCGATCACCCTCCCTTAGTCTCAAACCAGGTCTGGCCCCAGCAGGACTTTACAGGGTATCAGCAAATACATCCCAAGCAGTGAGCCTGGCTTATCAGCCCAGCCTAAGGACCATAAGCGCAGGAATGGGGTCCTGGGCCGTCGCTGGGGAGGAACGGCAAGGAAGGCAACACTGGAAGAGATGCTCATGTCACGCTGCAAGGCTGAGCCCGGCAGCAGCTCCATGCAGTTGTGGAGGAGGAAAGATAAGCTTGGAGGGAACTTCTGAGATGCTGTCCTGAGCTGCTGGGAGCATCTGTGTGCAAAACACGTCTCTCAGAAAACCAGTACAATGGTTATACACCTCAAGAGCAGCAAAAACTGGACTACACAGCCTCAAACCTCAAATTACAGTTGACCTAACAAGCATCGCTGCGACGCTTTTGGGCTCTCTCCAACCTAAACCCCGAAGGCTGCTCCTGGGGATGTTCAGAGAGGTGGGGACAGTGTTGGTGTGCATGTGGCGAAGGGGCATGTCATGGCCTCTGTTCTGTCTTGGCAGCAAACTCCGGTTCCCTGAGAACCCAGGCGCATCTCAAGTTGATTATCGCTAACCTGGCAGCCTCATAGCTCTGTTTTTAATACGAGTGCTCTCCAACCAACAAGGCATGCTACTATGCCTTGGCTCTCCAAGAGCAATACCCTAGCAGCTTCAGCCATGGCTTTCTCTCCGTTCACCTCACCACAGCCTGTTTCCAAGCGTCTGCCAGCAGAGAGCTCTCTGCAATCACATCTGTGCTTCGGCAGGACTCACACAGGACTTCCAAGTGAGCGAAACGGCTGCACGGCTCTGACTCACCGAGGGCAGTCAGTCTGTGGAGTTCACGCAGACATCACCCCCATCTCCTCAAGAGCTTGTCTGTCTCTGTCCAAAGCTCAAAATTGTCCCAGGGCCCACGTATCCTCCCTCTCCCCACTATGGGAACCACAAAACAAGGACAACAAGTTGATCAAGCTCTTGAGGTACTGGGCATAAGAGTCAGAAAAGCTCCTCGTGCAGTCCTGGCTGCAGCTCCGTGCCTAAAGCTGCAATCGCATCACCAGCTGGTTTTTTGCCACTTGCTGGGGGAGTTTTACCACAGGCCCAGATCTGAACGCGACACCCTTTACCTTGAACACCGCTGTAACATGCGGACTCCGAGATACAGGCCCTGTAACTGTGCTGAGGACACACGATTTTCCACGACAGCGTCCCTCCAAGGACAGCCTGAGCCACGTCACTGACTGAGGAAAGGGACAACGCCGTTCCCATACTTGTGTAAATCCTCCTGTCCTTTCATACCCAGAGATGCCTCATCTCTAGAGCTCTGGCTATTGAACGAGAGGACAGCAGACAGGAGGGTGTCCCCGTTTTCATCCTGCTCTTCATCCTCATGCCTTTGGCAGCCTCCAGCCGCAGGGCTCTGTGCAAGGTGACCCAGGCTAACCCCTTCCAGCCCCTTCATCCACAGGAAAACTAATTAGTAAGAAAACGCTGCGGAAACACATTCCCAGTGTCATCTGCAGCACACACTGATTGAAATGGAAGCCTGAGACACCCCGTTTGCCACCGTTAAGAAATCCAGCCTTTATAAGCAGGGACTGGGGAAATCCCATCTTATCCGGATGCAGGAGCTTTTCCTATTGTTTTAGGAAACATGAGGCGAATTGGCGTGAAAACTGTTGGAATCCTCTGACTTCCCCATTCCTCCGAGCCATTCCCAGCTTCCCCTCCCTCCATTTTAATTGATGAATCAGCAAAAAAGGACTCAGGAATCAATGTTGCAAAAAATACAACTTCACTAACTCCACAAGCAGCCATGCATGGGGCAAAACTTACTCAGCAGGACAATGTACAAAATAAGTCACACAGAGATACCTAAAAATCTGCCTCCGTTTGTGAGAACTAGAAGAAAAGCCTTCTTTGGAGATTCTGTCGGTTAACATCAGAGAAAAGCATCATTATAGAGTCATGCAGTCCTCCACAGAGAAAGCCAGGGAGAGAAACAGAGTCTGCTAAACGGTACTAACCTGCTGTCAGTGAGATATCCATTCTGTCCAGTCTGGAAGCACAGAAAAGACGATGGGAAGGAAAGAAAGGGGAGACTTAGTAACTTTAAAAGCAACCAACTCATTCGATTTCAACACAAAGAGGCACGAAGCCCTGACAGACAGGGTCTGTGCTGTGTAGCAGCCGTGCAGGTACTCAGAAGCCTTGCTGAACCTTCTGCACATCAGTCCCATCTGGATCCCCACCCAGGCCCATTAGGAACCTTTCCTGAGACCTGCGACCTGGAGATCTCTCAAGAGTTTGCAAACCTGAGTCCTCCACTCCCCAATTCATTGCTCTAAGGCAGCTCCGTCAGCGAAACAATCAAGGCCAGACACACAAGGGTCCTTATTTGCTAAATGCAGGCACAATTATGAGAGCCATGAAAAAAAGGCAGAGGGCTCCAGGCCAGCCCGGCCCACCCTGTAACAGTCATCCCCACCTCTGGAAGTCAGATGCAAAGCACCTGCTCAGCCCACGAATACGGAGCAAGGGTACGTGTGTGCCGGCCCAGTGTCGTGCTAACGTGGGACAGCAGCTGCTCCAGCTCGGGACTATCGGCAGAGCTGCTGACGAACACACACGGGTGGCTTTGGGTCGGTGTGTGTAAGGCAAATGGCTGGAGAGTTATCAGCTGAAGCCTGGTGACTTGACCAGGGACTCAGCACAGCGGATGCCTTAACATCCTCCTTGTGCAGGCACACGGCAATTCCCGTTAGGACACCTGAAAGGCTTTTCCCCCAGGATGCTCAAAAGCAGCAGGCAAGGAGCTGGACTTTGAACATGATCCACGGCAGATGGGCTCTTGGAATCATCCCTGACTCCATCAATTTGCCACTTGGCACAGCGTGGAGAGCTGCCTCCAGCTGGCAGCGCGCTGCTCAGCGCAGCAGAGCACAGCAGCCTCCCTGAGCCAGACATGAGCGAGGAACACAGCTCGGGCTTAAAGGAGTTCACATAGGGAGCTCAAGGAAGCGATAACCAAGTCGGACTCTGTAAGAATGTGAAGCCCAGACTGATCCTGTAAAGGCACTGAGCCCTGCCTGATATTCCAAGGGCAGCCTTGCTTGGTCAGGAGGTCAAGGCTGCAGCATCGGAGAGAAGCTGGGGGAGACAGCTGCTGCTCCTTTCAGGTTCATCAATTGACTTGCCCGTCATCCCAGAAACGCCACTGCAGAAGTTTATAACCTTGCTGAGCGACAAGGAGCAAAACTGCCTCCTCTCTAAGTCCCCACCCATCTATTGCCCCCTGAAACAGGCAATTTAGGGAAGGAGCAGACTGGGGAGTGGTGTGTCTCCTCTATCTCAGTGTCTCCAACCTCTCTGTTGGGAGCTGGAATTTAATGGTAGGGAACAAGAATACTGGGAAATTTGCAGAAAAGGCAATGATGAGACCTGACCTCTTATTATATGCAAGGACACCTTCTGCCACAAAGTTCCCGGGGGGTACCTGGAAAGGGAGGCATCCAAGCTTACCTCTCGTGCAAATATCCGCTCCCTGACCCGCTGATACTCTTCCTCTCGCTCTTCTATTGATTTGCTCCTTCTCCCATCCTGCAAGGGGAGTCTGATCTGAAGGGACAAACACATCTCAGCACATCAGCAGTTGCCAATGGGAGCAGAGGGCGGAGTCAGCTGCTGGTATTTTACTAGCGGTGTAAGTGGATGTGGATTACGGACTGTGTGTGCGGTGCCTGGATGGAGTGACACAGCCTCTGCCTTTGGACCTACCTTCTCCACACCTATGTCTAGGGATGAACCTCTCGGAGGTCTCAGTGAACTCCACCTCCCGGACCAAGCACAACCACTCTGCCTGAACTCTGCCTGATTCAGAAAGGACAGATCAGGAATATCACCACGTGCTTCTGAAAGTCTGTTCCCAGGGGTCAAAAGCTAAACATCACTCTTTGGGGCATGCAGCAACGCAGCCAACTCCCGCTCAGGCATGGATTCTGTGCTCTGTGGGGAGCTGCATCACCTGCAGAGTGCCACCACGAGGAAAACAGAAACTGATCCTGACTGCAATGGTGAGCTCCCCGTCCTGATGACTTAAGTTCAGAGACACGACCCAAAGGAAGGGATAATGGTACGCCAGGGCCATGTGAAGATGGGAGCTATGAGAGCAAAGAGCACGAGATCCCTGGTGAAGAGGTCTCCTGCCTCCTGCCCTGTTTCTGACGTTCAAGATTCCGTCTGACACAGGCTGAACAAGCCAGCTACGCGCTACCGGTGTGGTGCCACCTGTGACAGCCTGAACGCAGCCAGAGATTCAGCAGGGTTTTTAGTTCAGATGACTGGCAGTGCTGCTGAGCTCAAAGCGTTTCATTTTGCCTGCGGTTTCCTTCCAGCGACACGGGGAGGTCCTGATGACTTTGCAGCTTGACTCGCTGCAAGCCCCCAGGGAGGGCTGAGAGAAATGCTTGGCGACACCCAGCTCCGGGGCACTTCCAAGGAAACCTTAGCAAAAGGCTTCACCTTAAAGCCTGGCCCAGCCACCAGACGATATTTGGGGTACAGAAAAATACGCCACACAGATTCCACACAAAGCCTTCATGCATTTCCACAGGCTTTTGTAAAGCGTTCATGATATACCTAGGTGCTGCTGCTCAGGTGGAATAGAAGCTTCTATTAAAGAAAGTTACTGCAGGAAACCCAAGAGAAATCGAGTTGTTCTCATTTTAGAAAAGTTGGGTTTGACTTTCACAAAGTATGCAGATACCCCATTGCCACCCCTCACCTGATTATCATCTCGGTCCATGCTGGTATCATCTCGTTTTAGGATAAATCTCTGTGGGAACTCTGCACTCTTCTCATCTCTGATGTGCTCAGAGAACCTCTGCTCTGGGCTGCAGGAAGAACCAGTCCTTGTTAAAAGGGCAAAAATAGACATCGAACTGTCTTCATAAAACCACTGCTTTGCAGGGAGCGAGGACGTGTGGAAAGATGTTTGGTTCTGCTAAATCTCTCCTCTCTCTGATGGCAACAAGAGCTCCTCTGCCTCGTTGGCAGAGCTAAAGAGAGCTAGAAAGGGTTTGCAAATATATATGCTGAGGACTGAAAGTGAAAGACTCTTCTCTTGGGACTCGCCCTTCTTACAGAGGCAAAAAAACACAGTGTGGAATCCATCCTGCTCTGGAGCATGCTAGGGCTGGGAAGGGAAGGGAAGGGAAGGGAAGGGAAGGGAAG